TTTTCTGGTGTAGGTGCTTTTCTTGTTAATGTTGATTTGGAGAAAGCAAACATTGTCGGAACAGCATTACATTTTAGTACACGCTTTCCATCTACGCGGGTCTTTTCCCACATCTCGGGACCAAAGTGGACCTACAGAAATAACTAGTTATTTAATAATATATGTACTCCATGTTAATTAAGAAGTGTAAAAGTTATCTCGTAGGACATGATTAAATAAACTTAGAATAAACTTACTTCGCATAAGCGCATTGCATCAGTTGGTTGCCAGTTGCCTTTTTTCATTTTGATTATCCATTCCATCCATTCCTGCTTTCTTTTTGGGTCCCTCGGAAATCGTTTCATCAAGAAACCTTTCTTTGCGGAATTGCTGCATCCTTCAGCGGCACACCCACCCATTATATCTAAAAACTAGACACATGTCCTTCGTCAAACAAACAAAATTGTATTACCCAATTAAGAAAATACTTACATTTCTATTAACTTTTAACACACTAAACTACGTCTTTACGTAGAACCGATTATTTGCAATACAAATTTTAGTTTAAACAGCACCTTTAATGACAAATTTCGTAAAACAAAAAACACGTGTAAAATATTAGCGATTTACAAATTGTGAGGCGCCCTCTCCCGACAGTTATTTGAGTTAGTATTGTGCTGTCAGCGTATTATCTGAACGTCAAAAACAGTTTCAAACGGTAATGTAAATCGCGAATAGCCATGATTTTGCTCCAATATGGCGATCGGAACCAACTTCCAATCAAAAACGAGTACCGGGTTGTCGCCACTGTGCCTATAAAGTCACTGTAGTCAGCACCAGCCCGCACCGCACAACAAGGCAATGGCACCGCACTACCACCTATCTGAATGGGGATTTATACTTAAAAATCGACCGACCTAACAACCAAAGTAAATATAGGTATAATCGCTAATTTTTTAACGAATTTTCCAACTTATGTTGGAAGGCGCTATTATGGCCACCTTCTCCGTCCATCCGTCCGTCTGCCCGAGGCCTTAACTAGTCCTACAGTGTTCAAGATATTCAGGTTTATTCTCGTGCCACTTGTTAAGCGTTTTGTTTGTTAACTGAGCAAATTTGCTACGTCTAACAAAAATTGGTATTCTGGTAGCCGTTTTGTTTGGTTAGCGTAACAAGATGCCTAGCAAAATTGCTACGATTCTTACGCCATTTCTGAATTGGCGTTGGCACTTTGTTAACGTGAAATAACTCACACTACGGCTACAGGTCACGATATTTTACAGACTATTCAATTCATCTAACATTTGTCACATTTCGACCAGTGAAATGTCGAGATTTCAAATTGTTGAGCCAATGGGAACGAATTATAGTGATAATTTCACGTGTGGTATTTCAGCGATAATTTCACGTGTGGTATTTCAGCGACAATTCAATGCGATTATTCACTTATAATTGCACAAGAGGTTTGTATTTTAGCGAGTAAATTTGGGTTGTTTAGGTAATGAAAATCTGTTGCCTAGCAATTAGACGAGAAAAACTGTCAACTAATAAAAATGCGACACCGAAGGTGGAGCATTTTTAGGTTGACAGTTTTTAGAGTTCAATTGCTAAAAGGCAACAGATTTGAATTGCAACAACACAAATTTACTCGGTTTAAATACAAACCTCGAGTGTAATTCGGCAGGACAATTTAACGAACAAGAAATTCACCAAACTAATCAATTATTGACAGACGTCATCTAGTCATATGGGACAGGATAATACGATATTTGGTTCGAAAATGAATAAGTGAAAAAACCACTAGTGCATTTGTCGCTGGAAAAGTTGCAGGTAACTTTTGCCGCCGTCAAAGTGACAATTGCACTGCGGCTTATGCGATTTTTTATACATGAGTTGAATTGTCAATGACATTTGTCAAACTTCCTCCAGTGAAATGACGCGAAATTTAGCCGTATTAACCGGAACATTCTTCTTAGTTTGTTAATCAATTTCGACAACCGACTTATCACCACATCTTTTAATTTAATCACTCATAACGAATTAGCTTGGAGCACAAAAGTTCGAATAGAATCAATAGCAAAATGAAAAGCAACTTCCATAATTTATTTTGACGTTTATTGTTGTCATGGAAATTCATTCGCGTGGGTAATTATGCTTAATTTTTCTTTTGATTCATTGAATAGTCCTCCGAATACCATTCGTAGTCGAAGTATTTGTAGATTATTTTTGAGCTGCTGCTCCACTCATGCTAGTTACGCTTTTTAATACCACTCGCGCAAGCGCTCGTGGTATTAATCAGCGTAACTAGCATTCGTGACAGCACCTCAAAAATATTCGACAATACTTCGACTACTTATGGTATTATATATGATTATTTCCTGCATGTAATAAAAGAATTAGAATTGATATGGTTACATATCCATACTTCAACAATTAATTCGCAAACGTCAAAATTTTACCGCGGTTAAAAATGTGTTAAAATTGTTGATATGATTTGTTCTTTAATGGATCTAGACGTTGTATCGTTTGTTATTTTTGTATGTCAATTTGTCACTCATTTACTATAATGTATAATTTTAAATGGAATAAAGCCTAGCTTTATAAAAGGTTAAAATTAGTATTATAACAATTTATTCCATTTAAAAAATGGATAGATTCTTACGTCCCGAACGCTTTGACGGAGATCCGACGTTAAGTTCCACCACCTTGGAATGGGAACATTGGAAGAAAACTTTTGAGAATTTTCTCAAAGCTCGACAAGCCTCATCTGCCTCTACTACAATGGGCCCTGATGCAACAAGTAATATTCAATTGCTTTCTGAAGCCGTCAAGCTACAGCTGCTGGTAAACTACATCTCGCCACGAGTATTTGCGTACGTATGTGACTGTGAAACTTACACTGATGCGCTTATTATTCTCGATGCTCTATACATCAAACCTCGAAATGTAATTTACGCCAGGCATGTGCTTGCCACGAGGCGTCAACAGTTTGGAGAATCTATTGACACTTACCTCCAGGCACTTAAACAATTGTCTAAGGAATGCCAATTCACTGCAGTGGATGCTGAGACAAATAAAAACGAGAATATACGAGGAGCATTTATCGCAGGAATTATTTCATCAGAGATCCGTCAGAGACTTTTGGAGAATCTGACATTATCCTTAGATCAAGCTTACACTCTAGCTCTGTCAATGGAAACAGCTGAAAGAAATTCTGCAATATTTAAAACTCAATCTTCTATCGTCAATGCAATTTCACCTAATCCGTCTTCTACTGTGGAAACAGTAGCTGTAATACCAAAATCTACGGAAACCAAAAATTATTCAAAACGTAAATGCTTTTTTTGTGGTGGCTCTGTCCACGCTCGGAAAAACTGTCCAGCAGTGGATGTTGAGTGCCATACCTGTGGAAAGAAAGGCCATTTTTCAACTGTTTGTCGCAGTAAAAACAGTGCTGCCTGTTTTCAAGAAAAATATGAAAACTACACTGCTTATATCACCGCTGCTGCACCTTCTTCGCTTCAAAAAGCTATGGTTACAGCATTCGTAAAAGGAGTTCGCGCTGACGCTCTTATCGATACAGGAAGCAGCATCAGTTTCATTAATGAAGGATTCGCGAATCTGCTTAATCTAAGAAAACAACATTGTAAACAAACTGTATCAATGGCTTCCTCATCTCTCAAGTCACAAGTGAAACATCTCACACGGCAAACTATTCGCATTGGAGAATGCTCATACAGAAATCTAGAACTTCTCATTGTAAAAGACCTATGTGCAGACATGATCATTGGTCATGATGTATTGCAAATGCACTCGAGTTTGGAACTTGCATTTGGAGGACCAAAACAAACACTCAACATTTGCTCTGTAGCCGAAGCAACCGTGCCCGCTGTACCATTATTTACTAACTTATCTACAGAATGCAAACCAATTGCAATAAGATCCCGCAAACACTCACATGAGGATGAACTATTCATAGCTGCTGAAGTAAAGAAACTGTTACGAGAAGGTATAATTGAAGAAAGCCAGTCTCCCTGGAGAGCACAAGTGTTGATCACTAATAACACGAACCATAAGAAAAGGATGGTTATTGACTATTTGCAAACTATAAATCGCTACACGCAACTAGATGCATATCCACTACCAAATATAGAAGAAGTTGTCACGAAAATCTCAAATTACACTGTATTCAGTACTATAGATCTGCAGAGTGCCTATCACCAAGTCCCAATTCTTTCTCAAGAAAACAAGTACACTGCATTCGAAGCTGCCAGAAATTTATACCAGTTTACTAGAGTTCCTTTTGGCGTAACCAACGGTGTATCTGCTTTTCAAAGAACAATTGATTGGGTGATTCGAAAAGAAGAATTATCAGGTACATTCGCATATATTGATGATATAACTGTTTGTGGAAAAACGCAAGAAGATCATGACTTGAACCTTGAAAAATTTATGCATGCAGTTAATAAATACGGGCTTACGCTAAACAAGGAGAAAAGTAAGTTCAATCTTAAATCAATTAAAATATTGGGTTACTCTATTGACAACCACATCATCAGACCTGACAACGACAGATTGAAACCTCTACTTGACTTACTTCCTCCAAATGATGTCGCTTCACTTCGTAGAACACTGGGAATGTTCGCCCATTACTCTAAATGGATTCCAAATTTCTCAGAGAAAATTCACCCCCTTGCTCACAGCCCACAATTCCATTGAACAATGATGCGCTAAACGCTTTCGAAAACTTGAAGTCTATGATTGCAAAGTCTACTGTTAATGCTATCGATAATATACTTTGTTTCACTGGTGCTGAACCTGACGTCATAAATGTGATTCTCTCTTCATTACATTTAAATCGATTGAGACAAAAAAATTACGTCATTAACGTAAGTCGTGACAATAAACCAATTATTGATCTGTCAATAATATCAATCCGTCAAACGATTTTCGTTATAGACAGATTTCCAGTGTTAAATGCCTTTTGATTAGGTAGTTTGTGTTAAAAGTGAAGTAAATATCATCAAAGTTGAAAACGCTTAGGCAAGTCCACAGTGCAGCAACGCCGTTAACAGACAAGTATTTTAAAAATTTTACATAAAGGTTCGATTCGCTCATATCATGAATTTAGGTCATTACCGTTACAATTAGGTAAATATGACGAACCGATACACAGAAGGTGAGCAAAGTTTGATTTTGAAGTTGATTCAGTACTTCCAAGGGGAAAAAGAAGCAGGAAAAACTTTAACACCCGTAAGCGCAGTATATGATGTAAGTGTTTCCTATGCGTTTGCTATAATCATATGCTTACTTAATCACAGAGGGTTTGTGCTGCCCTGGGTGTATCGTTGTGGACTGTAAAAAGAATTAGTACAAGAGGTGTTAAAAAAGATGACGATTAGGTACAAATCGCAAAAAAGTGTGGCTATTAGTTTATCTCACGGACCTCCGCTGCATGAAATACATGAACATGTAATAAGGACACGGATTTATGCAATGTATGCCACAGGTAAATAACATTCTTTATGTTCTAAGGGAAGATTTGCTTCAAATGAAGAGGTTCGCTAGAACACTAATTGAATTGATTTTATAGGTGAGAATGTTACACTCCGTTCTTTACACAGTAATCTTCAACGACTTGATGGCGTAGAAATATCTGCTACCTCTTTGGCCCGCAGTTTGAAGAAACTGAAATTCAAGTGGCGGAGATGCACCGTTTCTAATAGATTATTTTTAATGGAACAGCTCTATGTAGCTCAAAGAAGACTACAATTTTTGAGAGACTTTAAACACAACGAAACTTCACTCTTTCCATTACGACCTGTGGTTTTAGACGAAACCTGGATATACAGTAAAGGGTCTTTTAGAAGAAGCTGGCAAGATGGTACTCTCAAAACAGTTAGAAAAAAAGTGGTGAAGGGGTTCGGTATATAATACTCCATGCAGGATCAGAAGATGGATTTGTACCAAACGCAAGTCTAATTTTTAAATCTGGTAGCAAATCCGGAGACTATCATGACTCCATGAAGTGCCTTAACTTTGAGAAGTGGTTTGAACAACAATTGATCCCGAACTTGGATGAACCTTCTCTTATAATTATGGACAACGCTTCTTACCATTCAGGATTGGTAGAAAAAAGTCCAAATCAATGCTGGACAAAAATGTCACTTATAGAGTGGCTAACATCACGAGACATTACATTTGCACCAACAATGATGCAAGATCAGATCTGGGAAGTAGTGAAAAATCATATACCACCAAAACTATTTAGGTAGGCATCGCTGATAATTAAATGTTTGGTTGCAGTTAGGTAGACCTTTGGATAGGAAGCTGATTGTTATGGTTTTTTTCACTCCACGTTGATTTTTACAGATTGAACGAATTAGCATTACAACATGGTCATCGTGTTTTGAGACTTCCTCCATATCACTGCGAGTATAATCCAATCGAAATGGTATGGTCAGAATGCAAACGGCATTACGATGCAAGGATCGGTTCAATTCAGCCTTTCACACACAGTGCCGTTTTGTCTTTATGGAATGAGGCACTGCACAAAGTAACCTCTTTATATGCTGTTTTGTGAAACAGTACTTAATAACTTGAATGTTTAGGTTACACCGGAAAAATGGAAAAGATATTTTGATCATACAAGAGGCATTATAAACCAGGCCTGGGAACGGGAACAACATATTGATACATTATACATCTTACCGGTGATTGTCACCTTGGACGAATCTGATAGTGACGAAGATTATTATGATGATTATATTCATGAGGCAGAAGAGAATCAGCGTGTTTAAGAATATTATTTTGGGCCGTTTATACATATATACCTACTTGTGGTGTAGTGTCGTTTTTTTCTTTTGTACATACGATTTGAATATGAACATTTGAGAGTTTTTTCAGGAATAAATATCTTCACTGCCTGTTTTCTCTCACAATTGCGTTTTTTTTAAATAAATCGGATCAGTAGATATTCAAGATCCTTATGCGAATATCTCGAGTGTGTGGCAAAAGAACAGAAACTGTATGTATGCGTTGTTATTTCAATGAGCCAGTGGTATAATGACTACGCTTTATCTCAAATTTGTAAGATATATAAATGCGAAAGGCTTACCGATAAACCATGGCCTATTCTACTTCTGCAAATGGCTAGTTAAGGGTCATTAAAATTCGCGCAACTTAACGCGTATTCTTCACATTGGTAGCATGCTTAATTTCACATCAACATTAGGTAAACGAAATATTAATTTACGAACTGCCTAAACAAACTTTAAGTTACAAATGTTCCTATGCGTTTTCTGTAACCATCATACACTTCATCTCAAAGAGTTTCTGATGCTCTGGCAGTATCCATTTCGACTGTCGTCGGTGCAAAGAATCGGTTACATGAGGTGATTACAAACGGTGGAAAAAGTTTAATCTCGAGTTTAATTCATACCAACGGAGTTCCTCTACATTAAATACATGACCATTTAGCCATTATAAAACCTGGGGACAGGAAAAAACCTATCAGGACCAGATGCCTTACAAGTGATTGTCAACTTGGACGGTCTGATAATAATGAACGATAGTGACACCTTAATAAATAAGTTGAAACGTCAATGTGACAATATGTAAACCAACTACTAATTTACGACCTGCCTTAATTTTGCTATGACGTCAGATAGTGTGACGAAAGGTTCAGCACCCTTGAAACAAAGTTTAACATCTCATTCACAGTTGAAACAGATGCCTCGAACCATTCAATTGCCGCTACGCTTTCACAAAACTCGAGACCAGTGGCTTTCTATTCTAGAACTTTGCACAATTGTGAACAAAATCATTCGGCTATTGAGAAGGAGGCCTACGCCATTGTTGAGTCGTTGAAGAAATGGCGGCACTTCTTAATTGGAAAACCTTTCAAATTAATCACAGATCAGAGATCTGTAAGCTTTATGTTTAACTCTAAATTACCTAGTAAAATAAAGAACGAGAAAATTCAAAGATGGCGTTTGGAACTATCTCCGTTCAATTACGATATCATCTACAGACCTGGACGAGAAAACCACGTTGCTGACGCTTTGTCAAGAATCTCTGCTAGTATGAATTCACAATCAAGAAATCTGAAATTGAAGGAACTGCACGATCATTTATGTCACCCTGGTATAACGAGAATGCACCATTGGCTCAAAAATAAGAATTTACCATATACAATTGAAGAAATCCGAGTTATGACAAACAACTGCCGCACTTGTGCAGAAATAAAACCCAAATATTATAGGCATTCAGATCCACTACCAGAACTAATTAAAGCAACGTCACCTTTTGAGCGAATCAGCATCGATTTTAAAGGTCCTGTTCCCACGAATACCAAGAATAGATTCATACTTACAGTCATTGATGAATACTCTCGTTTTCCATTTGCTTTTCCATGCTCCGATGTAAGCGCAAAGACTGTAATTACTCATCTAAATTCACTTTTCATGTTGTTTGGTATGCCGAGCTATGTACGCTCAGATCGAGGTGCATCGTTTATGTCTAGTGAAGTAAAGCAGTACTTGCACTCACGAGGTATTGCCACGAGTCGTACTACCGCTTACAATCCTCAAGGAAATGGTCAAGTTGAAAAACTTAATTCAACATTATGGAAAGCAATTCAACTAGCTCTGAAGACTCACAATTTACCAATTGAACAATGGGAAAAAGTTCTATCATTCGCTCTACATTCCATTCGTTCTCTTTTATGTACTACGATTAACTGCACAGTGCACACCACATGAAAGGATGTTTCGACACAATAGAAGATCTCCTAATGGAACTTCTATGCCTACATGGCTGACAGAGGCAGAACAAGTATTATTGCGTCGTTGTGACCGAAGTAGTAAATACCAGCCTCTCGTTGAAGAGGTAGACTTGTTGGAGTCAAACGCTGACTATTCCTTTGTTCGCCTCCGAGATGGACGTGAAACTACTGTATCCAATAGACACCTGGCTTCCATTGGAGGACAAGGAGAGATAATAGCCTCTAGACCAGAACCTGAAGTTGTTGTCCAACAACCTCACCCGCCAACAATAAATCAAGATATCAATCTAGAGCTTCAAGATTCAAATGTGCAACTTCAGCCTGTTGTGGATCTAGAATCCGAAACATTAAGACGATCAGCTAGAACTAGAAGACCACCACTATATCTCAGAGACTATAGTTCTAGTTGAAATTTATTATTGTTATGGTGGAAATTTTGAAAGCCACGATGAATGATATGATTTAGACGTTGTATCGTTTGTTATTTTTGTATGTCAATTTGTCACTCATTTACTATAATGTATAATTTTAAATGGAATAAAGCCTAGCTTTATAAAAGGTTAAAATTAGTATTATAACAATTGTATCGCTTCTGATTTTCCCTATTAAGGTACTTAGACGACCACAAACTTGCGGTTGCTTAGATACGAAGAGTCGAAACTGTCTGCCTAATGTGCTAATTTCGAATGCACTTCTCTTCCGCGATGTCCAGTTTTGGTGCAAATTGTTTCGCGAATACTAAAACCGCTGTGAATAGGTATTTATTCTAGAAATAACCATGCCGAATATCCCGTGTGCTTAAAAATGCCTGATTAAATTTTGTGATTTTTCGTAAAATTGTTTTGCTACGAAGAAATACTTCAAGTCAATTTTTCACTTATAATTGCACAAGAGGTTTGTATTTTACCGAGTAAATTTGGGTTGTTTAGGTAATGAAAATCTGTTGCCTAGCAATTAGACGAGAAAAACTGTCAACTAATAAAAATGCGACACCGCAGGTGGAGCATTTTTAGGTTGACAGTTTTTCGAGTTCAATTGCTAAAAGGATACAGATTTGAGTTGCAACAACCCAAATTTACTCGGTTTAAATACAAACCTCGAGTGTAATTCGGCAGGACAATTTAACGAACAAGAAATTCACGAAACTAGTCAAGTATTGACAGACGTCAAACTAGTCATATGGGAAAGGATAATGCGATAATTGGTTCGAAAATGAATAGTGAAAAAACCACTAGTGCATTTGTCGCTGGAAAAGATGCAGGTAACTTTTGCCGCTGTCAAAGTGACAATTGCACTGCGGCTTATGCGATTTTTTATACATGAGTTGAATTGTCACCCAAAATTTTAGGATATTACTGCTGATTCAAATGCTCATGAGTCACGAGTCATGGATAGGGACGAAGGTATAAGCACCAATCTCTATGTACCATCGAGATTATTGAGGTCCAAGGCGAGTGCTTCCTACAAATCATTTTTGGAAGGAACATCTTTCTTAATATTTGCCTCAAACAGCCGCCTTTTTTTCTGCAGAAAAGCAGATATTCCTGATATTGCACGCGAGTTGTTTTATCTTGAATTAAAAAATGAAAGTCCGAAAAGAACAAGTTAATAAAATAAAATAAACTCATAAAACATATCAAACGAGATAAGAGTAGGTAAGCGTGAAGAATAATAGTAACGATAACTAAAAAATATAAAAATTTACAAATAATTTTAGGCGAATTCAACTATTTCGGCTCCAAATTGCAGCTATGTACTATGTCGTGGAGAACAGCAGTTAGTTAATTTATTCAGGGCTGCTGCAATTTCTTGGAGTTCTTTCAAAAAGAAAATGTTTTTCGAACTATTTGTGCGTATTTTCGGAATATAC